AAAAAAAAAAAAAAAAAAGATAAAAAACTAAAAAAAAAAAGTGCAATTTTTCAGTCTATGTAAAGGTGTTAAGTGTGTCATTATTTCTTTTGTGCTAACTTTGATTATATCGTTCACGTTTTCTTTTAATTCCTTTTATTTTATTAGGCATTCTTTTTAGGCATAATTAGGACATGCATACTTGGTGAATGTTAAAGCTATGATCTTGTTTTCTTTGTGCAATGTGTGAATTATGGAACTATCTTCTATGTCTTTGAATGAGTAGTGCTTTCTGTGGAGTGAGTTCGCGAGTTTGGAAAACTTGGGTGATTATGAGATTGACGTGCATTAGGATTGTGAAATCTATATTTACGGCTTTGAGATTAATGTGTTGATATGATTCTTATTGATTTTGGTTTGTCAGTAATGAGCCTCTTGTGCGTTTGCATCTCTTTGGTCCGTCTTTTCCCATTTTTTTTTGTGTCAAATTTTTATTGCTGTCCAGTGAGTTTTGTTTCTCCCAGTTCTTTTCTTCTATTTTGGTTCCATTAAGAAAAAATTTAAAAAAAAAAAAAATAAAAGTTCATTTTTTTTGTTAAGTCTCCTCGTTTTTTCGTTTTATTTTCTTTATTACTTGGTTTATTTTTTTTACTGATCGTCTGCTTCCCTCTCTTGCCCTAGTTTTTTTTTTTCTCTTAAAATTCTCTCAGGCGATAACTCCAATTTAGATGCCCTCCAGTCGATTGACAAGATATTGACTCTGATTTGTACGTCCTCGCCGGGTTCTTCACAGCGGAGCTCATCTTTGCCGTCGGCCAAGAAATCTGGTCCGGTTCCTGTTTCATCGTCGGCCGGCACCACCTAGTTGTCATTCACGGCGATCGTCTCTCCACGGTGATGCCGAATCTCTACCGGCTAGCCCCCGCTCCCGTTTCTCCGCCCACTCCCAGTCAGCTCACAGCGTTCGTCTATGTGCTCCAAGGTGAGAGCGCGCATCTGCCGTCCCACGTGTCGGATGCCGCTTCCGAGCCGCTGCCGGTACCGACAGTCCACAACTCCCCGATTATTCATCCGTCGTCCCAAGTAACTCTGCCCTTTTTCACTTAGGCTTAACATACGAACTGAGCCTGTCAAAAAGGACATTGATAAAGAGCTTGAATATGCTGATAATAGCAGTGGGACTAAGGAATTCGCCTTAATATTTAATGCTCCTGAAGTGTTGGAAGCAGAAATAAGGACTTTGAGAATTTGACTTTTCTTTAAGAAGCAATATGAATTCTTACATGATCTGCAACATGGGGCGTGTACAACATGGGCTATGTTGCTGAAGCCCCAAATTTCAGAATTTCACTAATAAGGATATGTGTGGGGATAAGCAACTGGAAATAAGAGTAATTATGATGTTAAGACTGTTCAATGCTTTATTGAGGGGGAGCCGAAGCCGAGCTCGTATACGGTGTCTACCGTCCATGTTTTCTGAACAAAAAGGGGGAGATGGAGATCGTCGAGTGTTCGACTTTATCACTGTTTGCATTTCTCTTCCCTATCTCTTTTATATGGTGTCTTAATTTGAGTGGGAGTATTGTGATTGTTTTTTGGTTTGTTTGGTTTTGTTCAGAAAAGCAAAAAGGGGGAGATTGTTAAAACGTTTTTTTACGTATTTCTATTTTATCATTTATTTTGCTTTTCTGAACATTCATATATATATTAGTTTATTTATTTTAGTATAATTTATTGTGTTAAATACTATTCCTTATCTTTTAGGAGTTTTAGAAGGAAAG